ATAATGTTGAGAATGATGCCTCACAGAGATAAGTGGAATGAGAAGGAAGAAGAAGTTCTAAAGCTTTTTTACTTAGCAGTGGACTTTCATCAAGTAATCCTATCCAAAAATCTGCAACATTTTCGCAGTGAGATTTTATCACTTTTAAATGATCATCGGATGAAATTTCAATAAGCTGTTCATTTTCCTGAATAGACAGATTATTATTGTGGGTAGCTAAAAAGGGATCAATCGCCCACAGATTATTTTTCCTCATATCTGTATCAGCAGGGAAGTACTTGTCAAAGTAATCTTGAAGCGACTTAATGTAGGACTTAACCAGTGAATCTAAAACATCCTCATTTAAGCCTTTATTTTCAGAGATAAAATCTGAAAACAGGTTGAACATTTCAAACGATCCTTTTCCAGCTTCGGACTCCCATAGCAACAATTTTTTTCTTAAATGAATCAATTTTTTTCCAAAGGTCAAATGCGGTTTTAGATGGTCCCTGCAGGCCTAGATTCAATATGTTGAGTTGTTCAAAAATATCTGCTAAAAAGCTAACTGGGCCATAAATTCTTCATCACGCAGTGTTTTCACGTTTTTTTTTTTTTTTTTCATCAAGATACATACATACTTCTTCTCGAAGTTCATAAAATCTGGCTAACACCCGGCCCCTGGACAGCCACCTAACTTCGGTATGTAGAAGGAGATTGGAATGGATGGATCCCATGTCCTCGCATAACAAAGCAAACAATCTCGAACTAAGAGCATTACTTTTTATAAAGTTCACGGCCTTTACCACAGTATTGTTCTGAACCTATTTTCTTGTGGCATTGTAAATTAATTAATATTAAACTGGGAATAAGCCACAATTAAAGATAAAAATACGTTTATTGACGTTTCAATTTCCACTTCGGAAATCGTTCTCAAAATACAAACAGTAAATTAAACAAATTTTGTTTTACCACAGTAGTCAAAACCTTGTTTAGGTCGGGACTTAATCTTTTGGCAGCAAGCATTTCGCGATGAATAATACAGTGTGTTAAAACAATATCACGGTTTCCTTCTTTCCTTACAAAACTTGGCACGCCTGTTTTGTGACCTGTCATTGCCGCGGCACCATCAGAGCAAAGTTCTACACAGTCCTTCCAAGAAAGATTTTTAATTGTGAAATATCCGTCAATGGCTTTAAAAATGTCTTTTCCGGTTGTGTTACCTTGCAACTCAACCGAGGTCAGGAACTCCTCAGATAATTTTTTGTTGTCTTTATCTATGAATTGTATATAAACAAGAAGAATAGCTTTATTGGTAATATCTGTAGATTCATCAAGTTGTACAGCAAAAATCTTTGAGGAATGAATTTTCTTTAGAAGTTGGGTTTCAACATCTGATGCCATTTCTTCAATTCTCCTACTAACGGTGTCATTGGAAAGAGGAATATTTTGCATTTGTTTAGCGTATTTATCACCTAAAATTGCTTTAGTTGCATCTACGATACATGGTAAAACTAATTCCTCACAAACAGTAAAGGGTTTTTTGGTTTTTCCGATTCTAAGTGAAAGTTGATATGACGCCTTCAAAGTAGCTTTATCATAAGTTGAGTATGACTTAAGGATATTTTTTGACGATTTTAGTTCCGTCTCCTTCCTCTTAAAGAAATCTACATGTTTTCCGACAAAATTTTTATGCTTTGTTTCAAAGTGTCTAGTTAATTTTGCCGGCTTCATTGCCTCATTACTTAATACCTCCGCACAAATTACACATTGAGGTAACTGGACACCAAATTCTTCAATAAATGTAAATCCACATGCTATGTAGTCAGGATTGTACTTACGGTTAGCAGCCTTTCTTTTAGGACCAGTTTGAGTTAATATTGTGCTATCACTGGCAATGTTACTAGTAGAACATCCTGCTTTAACGTTCTCACTATCCGTCTTCTTAAAAAAAAACCCGAAAGTTTCATCTGTTTGCTCTTGCATTTTAGTAAACTACAATCACCAAGCCAAAAAAGACGCACGCTCGTCACTTGACAGTTGAGTCAGCACTGAGTCACTGAGTAGTGGCGCGATCAAAAACGCAGTGGTCGCAGTGTCCTGTACGTACACGACAGCGGCCGAAACTAAACGAAGATAATGCAACTAACTATTTGGCGCGTGAGGGAAAATACGCGGAAGATTGAGGTGAATGAACCTGTGTTCAGGCGCGCTTGGTCGTCTGGAAACGTTTTGAGTTAAAAAGATAGGCCGGCGCATTAATTTACGTCTCAAGAACCAAGATTTAAATTGATTATTTTATGACTGTTCACTTCGCGGACCACATGAAAACCGTACGCGGACCACAGGTGGTCCGCGGACCACAGGTTGAGAATCACTGCTTTATAATATATGAAATATTAATATCAATTCAAGATTAGTTTTACTGCTTAAAGCATTATTTGGAAGCATAGATTTCTCATCGCGTGCTACATATGGAGCGTGGATCACACAGAAGTGTGAAAAAAATAAAACCAACTGTAATAAAATAAAAATTTAATAAAATAAAATAAAATCTAATTGATTCGCATCGCATGGGATCGAATCGTATTAAATCTAATTAATCGAATAGAATATAAAATCGAATATGTAATCGAATATCGCATCATATTGAATCGAATGGAATGTCAAATCGAATATCGAATTAAATATCAAATCGAATAGAAACAAATATGGAATTGAATATCGATTCTAATCGAATGGGGTCGAGTTGAGTAGAATCAAGTCTAGTCGATTCGAGTCGAATCAAATCGAGTCGAATATCGAATCCATAATCGAATGGAATCGAGTCCAGTCGAGTCGAATCAAATTCAAACTAATCGAATATCGAATCGAGTCGAGTTGTCTTGAGTCTAGTCAAGTCGAATCGGATCGAATAAGGAATCAAATATCGATTCGAATGAAATCCAGTCGAGTCTGGTCGAATCGAACCCAGTCGACATGAATCGAATATCGAATCAAATCAAAACTATCTGAATCGGTCTATTGACCTTTACTTGCAAGTATTTAACTTTTGGGATCTTGTGTTAAAATTTATTCTTAAAGTGTTATTAGTTCAAGGTTTTAAAAATAGAAAATTATAGCAGCGTTACATCGCTATCTTCATACGAATAACGAGAATATTTTTCTTAAAATATATTAAAATCTAGTATATGATTAGACCCTCTCCTACCACAGAAGACTCGGTATATATGTCTTCTTATTGCGTCGTCTCCTGTCGAAGGTTGGCAATCCAAATGGCAATTGTAGCGTTGGAAACTGCTTTACGGAAGATTTCTGTGAATGAGCGGTCAAACCATCTTCTCAGTCTTTCAGAGACGAATTCTGGCGTCTTCCAACTGATCTTTTGCCCTGTACTTTACCTTTCAATCTGATTTGGAGTAATTCATATCTTTCATCGATAGGCGGTCAAACCATCTTCTCAGTCTTTCAGCTACGAATTCTGGCGTCTTCCAACTGATCTTTTCCCTGTACTTTACCTTCCAATATGATTTGGAGTAATTCATATCTTTCATCTCTCAACACATGGTCCAAGTATTATATTTTTCTCTCTTTGATTATGTTGATTAATTCTTTTTGTTTACTCATGCGCCGATAAACGGTCAATTAGAAATATCTCGAGAACTACAGGTAACTGAATCATGAAAATTGGAATAAAGGATTTTTTAAGAGTGATCTATTTAATGAAAATATTTTCATCTATTTGCTACGTCCGGTTATACTGGAAGTTGGTTATAACTTCTTTATTTTTAATATTATTTATTTATTACGGACACCGTGTATATTTTTTAATTTTAGAAATATTCACATTATTTTGAACAATTTTTGTTAATTCTCTTCTATACCTATTTTAAACCGTTTTTGAGTTTGAATAATGGTTTTTATATGAAAATTACACTTTTCTACCATGTGTATAAAGTTCAATATCTTCTAATGTAATTTGAATAAAAGTTTAACGTGTACATTTTTAATTTGTTACCTGTAATTCAAGCTGATAAAATTTATTTTACAGATTTATGTTTACAGATTTATGTATCCACTTGCGACAACATTTCCTTGGCAAACTTTAATCCAGTTTTATGATTCCATTTAGCTATAACTTTTCTTAGAGTATTTCTTCGATATTTTTTGCAAACTTTTACTAATATTCTATCCTTTGGACGACCCGAGCTTTTACGTTTTTTATCGAAGATACATCATTTTTCCTCTTAAATTTTAATTATATTCTACAGTGTAGTTTTAGGAATATTAAGTTCATCCGCGACTTTACGAATTGTTTTATTACGGCAATAATTATTAACTCACGAATTTTTTCATTTGTAGAGATATCACGAACCATTTTATTAAAATATTAAGGCCGTTCACTCAATTTGACCAGAAATTAATTTTAGAACATATTGACGTTTGTTGGAGTGTCCGACTACATTGTTTTTGCAGCTTACTTGTCGAACCTTGTTTGGTTTTTAGCAGATACTTCATACTGTCCCCCTATTCGATGTGATTTATTCTCACAATTTTAGGCTATTTATTTCTTCTATGATCATGATTTTTGTTTTTGATTTATCGATGGACCTTCTTCAAAGCTTGACTCATTCTAGCTTTATATCATCTGCGTAAGTTATTGATCCTTCTGCCCCCAATGCATATGCCTCCTTCCCACTCTGAGATTATTTCACGCATAATGGCTTCTCATTATATGTTAAAATGCTAAAAACTACTAAATATTAGCTTTCAAATAAATGTTGCTATCAAATATTCTAGGGCTTAGTGGAGCTTGTTAATGATGAATCAAGTCGACTGTCAAAAATGAAATCACTATCCACGAGACCAACCTTATAAGGGGCCTTTTCTGGTCAGACTGTACAGCATACGTATTACAACTGCGCAGTAAAATTTTATTTAAACTCTTATTAAAAAATGTGATGATTCATAAAATGAAAAGATGATTAATTTTTGTTAAATTTTTAATTAAAATAAGTCTATAATTTAAACATATTTCGTTTATAACTGCGTTTTTTTTTTCATTTTATTGTATTTTTTTATAAGTAATTTATATATTTTTTAATATTTATTAACTTTAGGTTAATGCGAGACGATACCTATACTGCTCATGCCGGTGCCAAATTCCCTATAAAATGGACTGCGCCTGAAGGTCTAGCTTACAATAAGTTTTCTACTAAATCAGATGTTTGGGCTTTTGGAATATTATTATGGGAGATCGCTACGTACGGAATGTCACCATACCCCGGTGTAGATCTTACAGACGTCTACCACATGTTAGAAAAGGGTTACAGAATGGAATGCCCACCAGGATGTCCGCCGAAAATTTATGAATTAATGAGACAATGTTGGCAGTGGCACGCCAATGATAGACCAACATTTAAGGAAATTCATCATGCTCTGGAAAATATGTTTCAGGAATCTAGCATAACAGAAGGTAAAATTTTACATGTAAATTTAATATTTTCTCAGTTTTTAACGCATTAATCAAGAGTGTTCGTAAATAACATCTTGTCTTTTTTCGTCATTTTAACTGAATTTCTTTTTAATAACAATTCCGTGCCAATAATCATCTTTTTTAAAAACGATTGTGTAACACGGGTTTCAGTTTTAAAGCTTTGGATAAGAATTTTAATTTAATTTTTGTTTTCAATAGAGAGTTTTCTCGACTACCATCTTAAAACTTCAAGCAGAATATGACATTTTAGCGTAACAGCTTATCACAGCATTTCGTAAAGAGCTTTTGAAGCGAAAATCTCAATTTATAATTGGGTTATTTGTTAAATTGTCTACCCCTTGTTCACAGTCACATGTAAAGCGTGAGTCAAAATTCTAGTAGTATACACTTTGGGTAATTATGAAAATTGTACACATAAGACATTATGTCATTCTTTAATTGATTTAAAATTTATTGACAAAATACTTTTGATGAAAAAATGACACAAGTTGATTCATCTGGACACATTTAAATAGGTAATCTTCGAAAGCCTTGAAATATAAGTAAGCCCGAAAAATACCTTTATAAGCGACATCTTAAGAAATATCAAATAACTTTGGAATGTGTCAAAAAAGATAGTTAAAAAATAAATAGTATAAGAGGAACTTACAGATGTACAGAAAATGTACATGAGAAAAGAAGAAATAAATGCTTAAAAACTCAACTATTTGGTAACACAAGGCTTACGCAACATTTATTTTAGAAACCATAGCCCAGACCTGAAATATCAATGATTTGGTACATCGTTTTTAAGGTAGTAAGCCTAGGTATGCTAGTTGGGCTTTTATGTTAACTTCGATTATCTGAAGGTTGATATGAATTTTACTATTTAATTAATAATTTATAACTGAACCCTGTAAATTTCTCCTGTAAATACAACTTAAATAGCGATTCTTACTTTCCTACACTATTTTACTATTTTCTGTTAGTTCTTGTATTCCTAATAATATATATTAAATGAAAAGTATAGGAACTGTTTTACCTTTGTTCTCCGGAACAATGTTCAGAACTTTTATTCAGAATTTTATAAACATGAAAGTTTAAGAGAATTAAAAGCTGCATCGCTTATAATTAGATGTGATAATTTTATGTACTAGCAGTTTTGTCTACTCTAGTCCAGTCAATAAATGGTTTTTTTATCAGAAATTTGTGATATTCCATAAAGGAGAAATACAACAAACACTGTTTTTTAGTTTCCACAGAAATTTGACCATTTTGTAGTGGAAACCCATATGGAAATTTAAAAACAGTTTTGTGTTTTTATGTTTTGTTTTAATACATGGATTTCTCCTAAGTCACCGCCAATTCCATAAATAATTTTATAAAGTGTATTAAGTAAATATTGTCCTAATATTACTACAGTATTTCAATGTACCTAATATATTCAAAGAATTACGATAAAATTTCTATTAATGTTAAGATGTGTCTCAATACATACAAACATCGCCGATCAAATATTTTCAGCTGTTTGCGCAACCAATCCCCAACAGCAATATCTGCCTCTGCACCCAAATTCAACTCACTTTGTTTTATAACTACTTTTCATGTAATAAGGGGGATGTCCTAAGACTTCCATTTCATATGCCAAACAAATCATGGGTAGGTCACGTTCAATCAACAAATTTACACTAATGAAATGCTATGCCATGTTCTCAGTTAATCCACGGGTGTATGTTTGGTTATACCTTAACTAGGTTCTAAAACTACTTTCTTGGGTCATTTTGGTTATATCTTATTCACGTCTGTCCTATTTATCCTTATAAGCTAGTAACAATTGGGACACACGTGTTGGGGTTGAAAATGTTATGACGTTTGCTGATTAATATGCTCTTTATTCATACTCTTCCACCTATTATACCAACTAGATCTTGTATCCCTAAATTAATCTCTTTTTTCTGCATTTACTACTGGACCTCTTGTTTTACCTTTTCTTATGTCTTCATATCATTTTTATGATTAGTAGCCTAGTACCATCTTGTATCTATACTAGATTCTGTCTGTAGTCTAGACGTTAAAAATTCTATTGAAACGCTTAAATTATGCGTACATAAAAAACAAAACTATATTTTGATAGAGTACATTATTAAAATGCAAGGTTGGCTACTCAAAAGAGTCCACTCTGATATTTGGCAGCATACATAGGATTTTGTGAAAATGCTAAAACAGGTCGGTTTTTATTCTCGAGGGGGCATCTTTTAACGATATAGATATCTGTCAATTGTCCACCCCCTCCTCTCCAGTACCCTAATCCTTAAATTTTAAATAGGGAATATGCCATGTGTGGCACATTGTTACACAGGTATTTCGCTAAAGAATTCATATTTTTTTAATATTACCTGTAGTCCTGTGAAAAAGTATCAGTTTATTGAAAGTGTTACTCGTCTTAAAAACTAAATTTAACGCCTATGTTTTTCTGGTCTCAATTTCCCTTCATATAAAAACTACATTAAAACGTAATTTCCAACATTAATAGGAAACTTTATTAAATGTAACCTAAATAAAATAAACCAAATTTTAAATTAATAAATTCATAATTCCAAACAGTCTACTAATCAGCTACAACTATTTACTTAAACGTTTAAAATGATATTTATCAACGTTCACACAATTATAAAGTAGCTGTTCGAAATTTTGAAATACATTTTGCAGCATATTATAGGTTACTACTCTACATTCATGCACTATTCGTTATCTCAGTCGTTCCAACCAAGCTGGAATGCTATTATAAATTTTGCTTTTTAAATAAGTCCATAAGAAGAAGTCCAGAAGAGTTAAATCGCTGGCTTATTCAATTGAGAGCAAAATCACCGACTTGTTCTAAATATGCTAACTAATAACCTAAAATTATTCTCGATTTAAACGAAAAAAATTAAGAATGGACCAATTACATAAAAGAGATACTCTGCCTGGATACAAGGCCACCACTTAACGCCACAAAGTATACGAATACTGGTCCTAGTATTTTAAAAGCAGAAGTAGAGAAAGCCATCAAACAAAGCAAAAATAGGAAATCTCCAGGCCCTGACCAAATACAATCAGACTGGCTCAAACTTCTAGACGACGACAATGTCTCAGAACTAACAAACATTTAAAACCGTATATGTATACGAAACTGGAACACTGCCACAAATATGGTTGGAGTCTACATTTATCCCACTTCCAAAAAAAACTAAGACATCATCATGTAAAGACTTTAGACTAATTAGTCTCATGAGTCCCTCTCTCAAGCCACTTCTTAGGATAATTCTTAATAGAATCAAGCAGAAATGTGAAGACACAATGGGAAATAAACAATTCGGTTTCAGAGAAGGATTGGGACCAAGGGAAGCTTTGTTCTCAATGGTAACACTACTTCAACGATCATGTGAAGTACAGAAACCAATTTACGTCTGTTTTATAGATTGTCTGTCTATTTTGAGAAGGCGTTTGATAGGTTTCAATATGGTAGGCTGTTTCAATATCTAGAAATAATTGGAATAGATGATAAAGATCTGAGACTTTTACAACGTCTATATTGGAATCAAGAAGCTTCTATTCTGGTAGACGGCAAAGAAACAGACAAACATTTGTATTGAAAGAGGTGTTAGACAGGGTTGTGTGTAGTCCCCAACTTTGTTTAACGTTTACTCAGAAATAATTTTTAACAAAGTCTTGGAAGGGCAATGTGGAGTTCGAATCGGGAGAGAAACTATTAATAACATCAGATATGCAGATGACACCGCAATCATGTCTGAAAGTATCGAAGATCTTCAATTCCTTATAGATCGAGTCACTAGAGAAAGCTCTAATAACGGTTTAAGCATAAATACAACAAGACAAAGTTACTTGTGGTTAGTAAACAAGACCTCGGCGCTATACAACTAATTGTCAATAATCAAATAGATGTGAGACAAAAAATAGAGACACTAAATCCGGTTGAAAACTCGTTTATAAATTGCAAGAGGAGCACTTATGAAACGTAGATCTATCCTGAGCAATTCTCAGCTGAACTTACAACTGAGAATTAAATTCCTAAAATCTTATGTGTATTACTGTATGGATGTGAAACCTGGATTATGAAGGTTAACATGATGAACAAATTAGAAGCCTTCGAGATGTGGTTATATCGTAGAATGCTCAGAATATCATGGGTTCAATACATTTTAAACAGAGAAGTCTTGAACAGAGTAGTTCATGGTGAAGGTGACTTAATAAAGATGATAAAAATGAGAAAACTCGAATAACTGGGGCATATAATGAGAGGAAGCAGCTACATGATAATGCAGTTGATACTCAACGGAAACATCGGCGGAAGGAGAGGAATTGGTAGAAAGAAATACTCATGGCTCCGCCACCTTCGTCAATGGACTGGCTTATCAGCATATGAATTATTACGTGCCGCGCAAGATCGAGAACGATATCGACAAATCGTCATGGAAGCTACCCACGCCTAAAACTTGGGCAAGGTACTCAAAGAAGAAGAATAACCTTTAATCAGTGATAGTCGTGTTGAAATTGTTCCCAACAAAATTTGAAAAAATCTCAAGTTATTTTTTGATACAACTTCGATTAAATATATTTCGGTTCATAAATTATCATAGGTACTATATTAAAAAATTTGAAATCAATTTTGTCAATAGGATTTTGTTAGATTTATAAATAACTAGAATTTTATCTACTTTTGTATTTTTGAAGTTATAATCCAAATACAATAAAATCTCTAATAAGTATATAGTAATACGGTAGACCTATAATATATTATTAATTTTAAGGCTTTTTGCGGCATTAAAAGGTATGCTGTGTAAATGACTATTTGCGTTTCTATTAATTGTATAAAGATCCATCAATGACTGGATTAATAAACTTACTAAAATAATAATTTTAATGGTGTTATTTTTTGTTTACCTAATCTACTAATTTTTGTTTCTAACAGAGGTTGAAAAGCAATTGCAAGGCAATGACTCTCCATCAGTTTCTGTAGGAACTCCGCATATGGCTTTTAAAAAGTCTCATTCAGGAAGTACCGGAAATATTCATGGCCTTGTTGGATTAACAGAACATAGTGGTAAGATTATTAACAATTTGGCTATACAGTAAATATAGCTACAAATTTATTATTCTATGAGTATATCATATTATTTTTAACAATCAGTTTTATAAATAAACATTTTGTCAACAACTAAGCGCGATTAATCAAGTACAAATAAGTTTTCATATAAATCAATAGCGAAAGCAATAAGCTGAAAAACTGGATGAGGCGTACAGTACAGATCAACATCTGTGATGACTGAGATTAGTTTTCTGTAATATTTTCTCAGTAGACTGTATAAAGTAACTTTACAACAGCGAATTAAGCTCATTTGTGTGACGAATTGTTAAAAGCGATTTACTCAAGGAAATTTAAAAATAAACATTTACAGTTTGTTTATTGTATTCGAACAGATACTAAAGTGTTTTTCTTTGAAGATTTTGAGGTGTTTATACAAACTTTCGTTCGAGTATACAAATGTAAGACGCCGAATTAAAACCTTATACAGCATGGGATTTGAACAACCTCAATGAAATTTTATATAGAAAGGGACATTAACAATGCTACAGTACAATTAACCAAAGTTTAATAAAGAAATAATTAGGTTAGCAGATTTTCTGGCAAAAAACTATGAAGTTAATATCTTCCGGTGTAAGATAAAATACAAAAAGGAATATATCAACTAAAAAATGTCCCGAAAGAAAGCAAAAACAATAGTAATAGTTGTTAAATAGAATTAAAACAAGAAAATGTACAGACATCAATTTTTATAGAAATATCGCCAATCTAGTTAGTGAGAACTGTATCATTGCAATACTGAAAATCGTCTTATAGAAAACGGTGATGTGAAACATTATTTTATTTCATTTTATAATTTTCATTAAAATTTGATTTCATCGTTGTTTAGATATTCTCAACATATTAGAGTAAATACATTTCTATTGATTCTACTTAGAAATGTATTTACTCTACACGATTTTTTTGAACTGTAAAATATTGGTGATTTCTCAATATTTTAGATCTCAATAATACATCTACTAAACTGTCTACTTTTACTGGTGGATCGAAGAATAATGTTCAAATGAGACGATCTACAAACAAAAAAGGAATGCCTGCTCCTGCTCCCCGAAGCGTACAAGGTTTGTTATTGTTTACTTTAGAATTGTACTATAAATTGAAACATTATGCTGGCTAGTAAGGGACATCTAAAAAATGGAATGCGATATTGAACTAGCTTTCTTGATACATGAAAAGACTAAAATATAAGGAATAATATATGGTTTATTGTCCTCCAAAATTAGATTATATGATTCTGAAACTCTTTTGTTGTCGCATGTTTCACAGCAAGTATTTTATATTTTTTGAACCGATATTAGTTTTGTTCTTTAATCAATCTGCGGTGTCTCCCTTTAACAACAACTTTTCAAAAACATTGAGAGTTCATACCATCATAATGACATTTTCGACTAGGATATAAACATATTTAAACCACCTTGTAAAAAGACCTGAATCACTTACTATGTGCGTAGCAATGAAACGTCTTATTTTACCCGGTGGTATACTCTGTGGTCGAATAATTGACGTCCAAGTACATAGAACATTGAGGATGGTTACTGGTTTATCAGGTCTCTGGACATGCCTTTTTTCTCGGTGGTTATGATGAACTTGTGGAATGAAAAAACTCCCTGCTATCTACGAGATTTGATAAATCCATCAGAAATGACCAACGGTTTTGACCTCCTCGTCATATATTGAGGGAAAATTTTTCTTTGAAAAATCAAAGAAGCTCAAAAAATCTTACTTAATGGAGAAAAATGTATAGTAAACTCATCAACAGAATGTAGCATACTCTGGTTACCAATACTAAAAGAAGAAGTCACCAACAAGAATAAACCAACGTTAATGGATTAATAGGTCAGAGACATACGGAGTTCCACAGGGCTACGCAATTGAACTGTTACCTATTTAAACGATCTTAATTTTTTTGTGTCAAATTATTTTTAATTGGATCAAATGATAACAATGTGTGAAAATAATTAAAATTTCAGAATCCACTCACTTTAGCTTGATGTGGCCACCTTTTGCCTTGACTATGGCCTTCAAACGATCAAAAAACGAGTTGCATGCTGCACGAATGTGATCTTCCGGTGTTTTGGCCCATTCACGTATAATTGTTTTCTTCGGCGCATCCATACTGGCATATTTTTTAGTCCTCACCCTACTCTCCAAAATGGACCAGATGGAATAGTGCATCGGATTTTCGTCTGGTGTATTCGAAAGCCATTGTGTGGATGAAATGAAGTGTAAAACATGGTTTTTTAACCATTCTTGGTTCACACTAGCTTTATGAGACGGTGCCGAGTCTTGTTGGAACGTTCATGGTCTACGACCGAAATGTTTCCGTGCCCACGGCTCTAGAGCAGCGTCTAAAACGTTTTCCCGATAAACAGTTACATTGACTTTCACACCAGATTCAATAAAAACGATTGGATAGCGCCCATCGGCGGTTACAGCTGCGCTTACCATTACTTGAGATGGGAAATTACTTCGAGTGGCCGTTCGTAAGCTCAAACTTTCGTAGGTACGTTCGGTCAAGGAAACACGATCATTTTGAGAGTTTATGAACTGCTTAATAGGAAAATTTTTCTCATCAGAGAACACTATGTTTGGAAATTCGCCACGTTTGTGCAGGTGTAACAACTGCTTTGCTTTTTCAAGCCGAACTTTTTTTTTGCTTTGGTGTAAGGTTGTGTGCTTTTTGGAATTTATAAGGCTTGACCTTGAACTCCTTTTTCAATATTCGTTCCATGCTTCGCTGCGATATTTTCAGTTCTTTAGCCATTTGATTACCACTACAACGTGGATTTTGGTCAAGTCGACCCTTCACTTTCCGAACCATTTCAGTTGATCTTGCTGTTTTTTTCATATACCACCATAGCATTTGGCAGTGCTACCAGTATCATTATAACGAGTTATGGTGCAATACACAAACATTTTATTCACTTTGAGGTGTTTGAGCTGACGAACAATAGCTGGTTATGATTTTCCAGCCAAATATAACGCAGTCACACTATTACGTTTAAATTCCATTGTGACTAACTTTTGTTGTATGTATAAAACGTAAATACAAATGCTGTTGACAGCTTATAAACAATATACTGAAGTGTTATCAGGTCAACTTTGACGTAGCTGTGATTATCGATTTGCCAGATATCTCGATGTGAAGTTGTTAACAGTTCAATTGCGGAACCCTGTACAATTAACTACATATACACACAAAAATCAGAATTTAATATCACCATCAGAATTTTAACTCAAAACTGGCTATTTGTCTACAAGATCGTGGACAAGTAAGTCACCTGTCAAATTGGCTACAGATTGCTAATTAATAAACAACTACATGTTAAAATAACTCTGTGTTTATAATAATCTTTTTTGAAAATGATTTCTGGATTGGAGGTCGAAATGTCAAAACGATCAATTTTGGTTTAATCCCATATAAATATGTATAATATTTAAAATAAAAATACTATAACTTGATTTACATTATATAAGACAATAATCAGGTTAACACACTAATTTGAGACCTGGGTATTAAAAAAAGCTGAAAATCTGCTCGCTCGAAATATGTTAGATAGTGTAGCAAAGGGCTAAGGGCTTTATTTAAGAAGAAATGTATAGGCAAATCTTTTGGAATAAGAATGTGTATTATATTTAGAGTTTTATAATTATCGGTTTGTAAGGTACGGAATTGTAACGTGAGGTAGTCATGGGCTTTCAAAGCTTATAGGGTTGAATAAATAAAATATAAGTGTATTGAAAAAAGTACTTACTCCAGAAAAACAAACCATTCACTAATTAATAAGCTAGTAGTTAAATCGTACCGTTAAAATATATTGTTAAATGATTTAAATTCAAATTAGTTATACTGAAATCTTGAAGAATATTTGAATGAAATATGGAGCTCCAGCCTCCGACACTTAAATTAAAAGTGCGTTGTGTCTGCCTTCTTCTTCCGGCTACTCACTTTGGTAATCGATCTTTCCTCTTGAAACCGATCAGTCTTCTTGATTATGTGCCGCGAATTTCCTCTACTATCGGGAAAAATTCGTAGAACACCCATCGAGCAAAAAAACAAGAGGGAATGTAAAGGTAGTGGGGGCAAAAATATTGTTAAACGGGAAGTGCCATTTTGAAAGGCCACATTAAACAAGGAAAGAGAGTATCTTTCCTTGTTTAAGAAATCAAATTTATTTGGGTTATGTTATTGTTTGTCCCAACTGTCACATGAAAGCTTATTTATATTTAGGTTTTTTAACAATTGTGTCACATTTTAGACTATTATCGTTATTATTTAATTCGAACTTTCTCGTCTAAGACACATTCTGAAAAATATTTTACAGCTACTGTTTTATGACCTTATAAAAAATATGAAATATTTTCCTAATTAAAACAATCATTATATTAAAATTTTCAAACTTTGTACTAATTCCATTAGATAAATTAGAACCCCTACACCACTGTATGATTATTGTGAAGTGTCGTAAAATTGAAATTTGGCGCCTTTGAATTTCCGAATATGTCCGCTACATTAAGAGGCCACTTTTATAAAATTTTGGTCTCCTTTTCATACCGATTAGATTCCCTCTTTTGTCTTTTTGCTCGATGATGACACCACACCACACCAAGGTGCATGTGCTATATTGAATATTAGCACAGCCTTGTAGAGCCAGCTAGGAAACCGTTTTGAGTTTAAGCTTCCGAGTATTACCAAAGGTACTCTATACAGCCCAAATGCCTCAAGAAACTTCTCTCTGTGTGTCTGCCTTCTAAGTGATTCTGTCAGTGTAACTGTGTATCAAGAGTTAATCTTAAATATTTGACAGAGGTTCTAAAGTTTAACCATTATCAGCGGAATAAAGTTTGGTCACACATAGAATTCAGTACACTTGCAAAAATCAAAATACTGTAGAGTAATTCTTATGAAGTTTAAAAAAAAATTAAAGACCACATTTTGTTTGACTGCTCATCACAAAAGAAGACTTAATCAAATGGACTATTCAGAACACCTCTTCGACTGATCCTTGAAAGCCCATATAATAAAGCGTATTGCTAGTTTTAGATATAAACGACATTTACGATTGTTCGTTCTTTTGTAAAATAATAAGTTCAGTTTTAGCTCCGTCCCTCTGTTCTGACACACCACCTTGTTGATATCTTTCGAAGGCAAATTGCATATGAACCATTGCAGACGTAAGGTCCTTACTCCACCAAATGCCGCATGAAACTTTCTTATTCTTATTAACCCATAGTTACCAGGTTCCATGCCAAAGGAAGGATCACGCACCCTTCCACGCATCCAGAGATTCACGCACGCATCCAGAGATCTCAAGATCTCTGGATTCGACTTGTGGTTTATTAATTGAAATCTGGTTAATAATTACCTCAAATGTACTTGTGCTATAATCATAATGATCACCAATCTTCAAAAGAAGACATTGTTGTTTACTTCAAATTTGTATTGGTTACTAACGGATTTAAATAATGCTGTTAAGTTTTATCATAATATATTTTCCATACTATATTCGTGAGTATAAGAGCGTCGTAGGCGAGGTAATGAAGCAATAAACATACCAATTTTTTGCAGTAGGATGGATCTCAATGAACCTTTTTGTATTCGATTCGTATGAGTGTCAATAAATTTCGTTAGCAAAAATATGGTGTGGAAATGAAAATTGACTTATTGAACAAGGAAAATGCATTTTCGAAAGTGTATTTCCAAGTTATGAAAAATGATAAATTTTTAAATCGGAAATGAGCTCAATATGACTATTGAGGGTTTTTGGGATCTTTGGCATTGTCTCCTGGCAAGGGAATTGGAGACTTGTACTTTGGAAAATACATTTTCGTTGTTCAATACTGCAATTTTCATTTCCACATCATCATTTTTGTTTACAAATTTTCCTGGCACTCATACGAATCGAATTCAAGAAGATTTTTTTTCATTGAGATGCTTTTTACTGCAAAAATTTGGTAGGCTCGCCTATTGATTTATCTAATAGTATGGAGAATGCTTGACTTGCATTCAATGCTGGATGTGATTGATGCCCACGTAACATGTAAAAATACAAAATGAATGTTGGATTTTATGACATGTCTTACTTTTAGTTTTTAATAGCTTTTGTATTTTTAATATCGTTAAATAACAATCTTAATTTTGAATTTTAGCTTGCTGTCTTCTTGTAGTTCTTTTAGAGATAGTACATATGAGGATCAAGGACAAGGAGAACTTCAAGGAGAAGATGGGACTGATCTTAATGGTATTTATTAAATTTTGTTTTATGGTATGTTTAATATCTCTGAGAATGTTCATGATAAAAAGCAATTCGGTAATCAAAAGTGCCATTTTATCATTATATATATATTATTCTAATAAATCGAATATTAAAAACACGTGTCTGATATGAAACAGTAGTACGCAAAATAAAATTAAAGTCTGTATAATACACTACAATTGTATAACGATAACGCAAACTGAAATAAATAAAATTATCATTTACCAACAAATTAAATTATGAGAAAAGGCTTTTCTCATAATTTAATTTGTTAATAATATTTGTAATTTTAATAACCACTAAAGACTTTCAACACCCTGCCTTAGCAAGGAAGCCATCTCTCTCGCGTCGTCTGTCTCTTATTCACTCCTATTTCGGCCTGCGACAGTCCGAACCCCACCGAGGTGCTACTCACTCGTTTTAACATTCTGTTGCGGGTTCCCTCTCAGATCGTTCTTTTGAAGAGAGCAGCTCCCTGATAAATTTGTGGATCCGTGTCCACCACCATTCATCCCTTATCATTTTCTCCACCATTTCTCTCAGGAAATCAAACATTCTGCGGTTACACTTTCTTTCAAACTTCTCTCTTTCATCCGCCCACGCTCACACTCCAACATCGTGTGTATCACAGTATCCATGAGACTACAGTAATGGCAATGATCGGACTGAGTCCTCCTAAACCTAAAAAGATAGCTGCGGGAGCAGACATCGCATGTGAGTATTTGTGTCAGATAATAAATCCAGCTACCTATGCCCACAGTCCACCCAGCCTCGAAGGTTCGGAATTAGTGACTTTGTCCACTCCTTCACATCACGTGTTGCCTACCACTCTTGCTGCCACTGACCGATTGAAACTAATCTCCCGGTCAAGCTTATCTCAGTCATCTCTAGCTCTCCAATGTTCTGTCTCCTACGACTATGAATCCTGGCCCTTTCACCTGCCAGCACATGTAAAAGAACACAGCCGGTGATCACCCACAGAGCGGCAGCTGACACAGTTCTGTAGGCACATGCTACCCGCAGCAGACTAGTTCTGTCTACGCTTACCATGAGCCTCTTGTAAGTTGGTATTTCTACCGCCTCACTCCAGACTGGGGCCACATAGAGGACGAGAGACTGCACAACACCGTGAAGCGCCCTTCTCCTTTCGGATTTGGGTCGACTGATATTAGGCATTATCCTCCCCAGTGCAGCTGAGGGAGAGGAAGACACATGCACGCGTAATCCGAGCGTGCGAAGCAAGAGTTCCGTTTCGCATTTGAAAGAACTACACAATACAGATTATATGAAGAGCAGTTGCAAAATATGGTATGGACCATTACGAGGAAGTAAAAAAATAAAAAGTCAGAAAAATATCCGAACAAAAAAATCGTGTTTGTATAATTGCGACTCATCAGAGTGTCAGTCAGTAAGATACGAACTAGCAATAATCATCTTCAGATTTTAAGCACTGGAAAGCATAAACCCAAGAATCAGAAGTTATAATGAAATATTTATAATCGTTTTTTTTTCTATCTGCAAAGTTTCATTATTTATTATCATAACGACTGAATTTCACTTTATCGTCTTATTTAACTCATAAATAAAGAAATGAAACTTATCAAAAACTCAAATTTGAATATAGTGTTTGTTAAAGAAATGAAATTTAAAACTGTATATTTACCATATTTTTGATGTGTTTTCTCATTATATCTCCTTTTCTTATAACTAGAATAATATAATTTCATGATTAACAAAAAATATTAATAAATATTGCCATATAATATGCTGTTTGATAAAAAACACAATTTTATGGTGTGAAATACACCTTGATATTTACTATAGTCTCCGTGAACATTAATAGACTTGTTCCAACGAGATTCCAATTTATGAATTCACAGCTGTTTATGACTTCAGTATTTTTGTTGAAAAATGGTTTCTATGCATGATTTTTTTAGGTAAGTACAAATGGAAATCGCTAGGGGCCAAATCTGGTGAATACGGTGGATGATGCAACATTAATAACTTTAATTCATCGATTTTAGCCATTCTCAAAATGCTCATGTGACATCATTGTCCTTGACAGGTGCATTGTCCTGATGAAAAAGGATTTTTTCTTCTACAAAGTGGGTTTTTCACGAATTGTTTGCCTCATGTTGTTCAGGATATGGTCAGGATAATATTTAGAATTTATTGTCTTGTCAATTTCCACAAAAAAAATTCATTTCTATTCCAAAAAAACTGATGCTAACACTTTCTTGGCCGATTTCTGGACACGAACTGGTTTCGGAGTGGAAGAAGCAGGTTCACATAACTCTTTAGCCTTGTGTTTTGATTAAGGATTATGTTGATAGACCCAAGTCTCATCGATAGTGATGAATCGACGTAAGTCGATTGTAAATGTAAATGCTGCTGAGAAAGTCACATTCGAATTTGGTTTTTTTCCAAATGAAGAGCCTCCTTTTTTCTTTATGAGCCTCCCTATTCACAGCTGTGAGTCGACTGCTTGCCGTTCTATGAGTGTGCGATTGAACTGCAACGTCACGTCGCCCTCACTTTCTCGACAACACCGCTTGTGCCTACCCTTTTATTGTTAGACCTTTTCTATTTGTCTAATTTTTAGTTGATTTTCTGCTGTCGCTAGTAAAAGTGTTTTCGCGCCTCTATCAATCAGCCGTACGGGCCTATGTTTTATTTGAAAACTGAATGGTAAGTAGTTTGACTAAATATCTAATAATTTAGCATACTATATGATTAGAACATCATTTGATTTGAATAATATAAGTTAATTGAATAGGGAACGCCAATCAACAGTAAACTTAACTATCAACACCGATCTTATCACAGTGCTAGTGAGACTTTTTACCACAGGACGATGATAGTGTGTGTTTGTTAATTTTTAGTTTTTTTTTTTTTAATCAAAACATTAAACAAATATAACTCATCCAGATAAAGAAAGTCTACAAAGTTGTGCCGGTGGTCATGCTTTTTCGCTCATACTAAGACTAAAGCTCACACATATATCAGGCGTCCTTTTGTTCACTCAAGCTCACGCTCAGATAGCCTTCGCCATTTCCAGATTGTTTCTTTATCTGGACGAGATATACCTACATCTTATTTCATAGACGTTTTTTTTCTTTTCAGATTTAATGCTGCACTAGTTAACTTCAATTTCATTATCATATTAAAAATGTCTCGTGAAGATGATAAAAAAAATTGTGGGACTTTTTCAGAAAACTGGATGAGGGGCGAAGTGCAAGATGCTCTTTGTTCTCAAAAAAGTTGTTTATTATCAACCGCTTAACAATAGGCTTACACGCTATCAATGTTAACGTCAGTTCTTCAAGCATCAGCACCAATATATCAGCTTCCTATGCCACCAAAGCAACCTCCTCAAAAAATGAAGATAATCAGGAAGTAGTTCAGAGCAAAAAGTCGAAGACGACTATTGATTCCTATTTTGGAAGAGAAAATTCTATGGCAGGTATGGTTACTAGGATGGTGTGCAAAGATGGTTTTAGCTTCAGTTCATTTTGTACCTCACCCCACTTGAGACGGTAATTCACAAAAAGTGGATTCCAATTGCCAACTTTTCCGAACGCCATAAGAGCGATAATTTACAGGTATGCTGAGAAAGTCCAAGTAAATCTTTTAAAAGAAGTTACTACTTTAAAACAAAAAGGACAAAGATTTTTGTTGAACTTCGGCGAGTGGACCTCCAAAAAAATCACAGATACATAAATCTCAATTTGCATTTACACAATGCAGAATATTTTAATCTAGGTTTGATCTGAATTCACGACTTATGCACTACCGAACACTACACTGAATTAGTGGCAGAACGGTTGAAAATTTTTGGTTTATGAACCCGGCACCATTGGTATTACAATCGACGACGCAGCAGTTATGGTGAAAGTTGGCAAGCTCGTGCCTTGCTGTCAACAACTGTGCTATGAACATGGAATTCAGTTGGTTGTAGTAGACGTGCTGTATAAAAAGAAATCTCAAAGAGAAGTAGAAAAAGCAGAAATAGACGACACTGATGAATATGAAGACAAAAATGAAGATATGGAGACAGAGATGAATAGAGCATTGGTAGTAACATTCCAACCAACATCGGCGAGCCCTGTTGAATTGATTCTTCGTTACAGCTTTCTGGTCATGAAAATACGAAAAGTTGTTAAAACATTTAAAAAATCACAGTTTGCTCAGAATGCTGGAACGTTTCCGCGTCTTAAAAGTTTGCATCGACGAAGAATTGAGAGACATTGACTCTGCTATAAAATTCTCTGCTTGCGAGTGGTCAATAATCAATTAGTAATTAGTTGGTCGCCACTCTTCAATCGATGTGACTGGCTGTACAAGCTCTTTGCAGAAAAGAGTCCATTTTGATAACGGCCGACAAAAACATGAAATTTGTCTTAGATAAACTAAATAGGCAGGACTCTAGGCTTAGTGCCGAGCTATCGAAAGCACTACGCAACAGAATCGCGGAACGGCGCCTGATGAAATTACAGATACATTAGTGTACTTACAAAAACCAAAAAAGTATGACGAAGGACTAAACAATTCCGGTTATTTCCTCATGCTGAAAAAGAATGCAATGGGACAAGAGATGAAAACGTTGTTGAGTCATATAAATAAACAAGTGATTGTGGAACCAGTGCAAGAGGACATAATGGAAGTAGAAAATAATATAAAATTCCGGAGCCCGTGAATTTTACTTTAGAACAAGAACTAAGATTGAACTGAAACGAGAGAGAGAAAACTTCTACAACCAAAAAAAAAAACTGGTTTTCAAAAAGATTACGAACAGATTTTTAAAAAGGAAATGATTGTTTATGAGACCGAATGAGTGAAAAGCGATCATTTGTCCATGGTTGATCCAAAAAAATGATCCATGAGATCCAAAAAAACTCGTCCTCAGTAAGTTATACAAGAAAACCATTACTTAACTTTGTGTCTCAAAATTGCCATCAATGAAATTTGCTTCAACTGAACTACCCTTACAACAGATTGTTGATTTCTTGACAAGTTGATTTGAATAAAATTTCATTTGTGACAATTCCCAGCATACACAAGGAAAGCCCTGATTCACTTCCATGGCTTACTGAGGATTAATTTTTTTTTTGTAATCTCATGATAATTGTCGCATTTGCTCTAGCCATTTTAAGTTAAAAGATTAAATAATAAATAAACAAAAAAAGCAATATAATCGTGTTATTATTTTGATTCCACATTTTGCTGGTTCCGCGTTGGATCCAGCAGGATTCAGGCCAATCTTGCAAAAATGCTGCTGGATTGCAATCCCTTGTTCCATTGTTAGCGAATGCAGCACTTATTGTGAAGAGATCTTTCTGAAACCCAATACTTCAGTCAAAATATGGCTTACACTGCCCAATGAGATGCCTAAGGCTTTTTTTACGATATCCTGTATGTTTCTATAATTTCTAGTGTTGTTGTTGTTGTTTTGGACGCCCTTGACGTGGATTGTCTTCAACGCTTGTACAACTACATTCAGCTTTGTTTAAATTCAGCAATCTATCTTTCTTTAGTACTATTTGAAGGCGAACAGACCTTATACACTTTCAACGTTCGTTCATAAATTTCCTTTGCTTTTAAACCTTCAAAAATGAAAATGAAATCACTGCATGATATCTGATATTTCCGCTGTAAAAAAATACTGTGACACATCTATACTAAATTGCTTGTACACAAATAATGAACTAACCATATTTGTATGTATTTATATATATTTCCGCCTCCGCCCGGCTGGGAGCCATTCTGTCTCCGGCTTCTATAATATAAAATGTAGCTTCTCCAATTTTAAAGTGTTTGTTTGTCTTTGTTTAGTGTATTTGTTATGTCCCGATTTACATTTATGACATTCGGTTATTGCTGGATAAGCCACAACTGACGAAATGCCCCTGAAGATGATCTTGTGATCGAAAGTACTTGGGCAAGATTTAATTAAATACTGTGTTCGATATTTGCCTTGTGTACCATCAAAGTAAATAATGAACTGACAGATTGAAATAATTGAATTGAAATTTTGGCTAGTAGCAACGCCCTCTCTTATCGAAACGCAAAACTTATTGAACAGCCTATTATTTCTATTTTTTCAGGACTGACAAGAGAGCTTCAAACCTTAACAGCAGGTACCAAATGTGATAGCGAAAGCGATCTTCAAGATCAAACGCCCGATACAGATGACTCAGGTGCTCATTCCTACCCAGAAATATCGACCGCATCTAGTTTTATACCAAACACAGGTTCCTTTAAAAGGGCTCCTATCATGGGTAACAAAGGATTGGAACAGAGAGGGAAAAAGACTAAAACGAAAGAACCTTTGGTAAATATGAATCTCACTATATTAATAGCTTTAATAATATAGTATATTCTGGTGACCTATAAAAATATTAAGTGAGGTAATAAATCATAAGGATGGGAGATAAGTAACATAAATAATTTGAAACGATGAATTAAAACTCCATTATTCTTTTATTATTTTTTTGTTTATTAAATATCTATGATTCCATCCGATATTAAATATCTATGATTCCATCCGATATTAAATATTATTCCCGATATTACCCTCAAATATATTTACTAATGTATTTTGTTTTAAATTCTTATTAATGTAGGTTCAGGTGGCAGCTTTAGAGGTTCAAAACGTGCGGAAAGCTATCAGCAGGTATGGTACCCTTCCGAAGGGTGCTCGTATAGGTGCCTATCTAGAGTCCTTGAGGCAAAACAACATGTCCTCCAACGAGGAAGGAATTCAAGTCATAAATCAATCCCTGGATCAGTCCGACACTACTCCAAGGTCATTGTCGCCAAGAACAAATATTCGTACACAACCACAAATGATCAGGAGCAATTCGTCGGGAGGAGTTACGACGTTCCATGCCACCCATCCACCGAGTTCGCCGACTTCTAGCAAATTGACAAGAAATCGAAATGTTACGAGAAACAATAGCGGAGACGTCAGAAGTAGCCTGAGAAGTTTTAAGACATCCCAAAATAGTAGTTTTCGAGGAGGAAGTCCTTCTAGGTTTGTATAAACTGTTTATTAATTTGTTAAAAAAACCAAAGAAATTTTATTTTGAATGAGGATTTATAACTTTATAGGAATACCAATGAAAGTACATTTATTTTGAAATTTCAATTTTCACTTCGGAAATCGTTCTCAAAATACAAATTATTATTTTGTTTTGTTAGGTACTTGATAAGACAGAAAAAATTTTAATAATTTAATTTTACATGCCTCATTTAAATGGACAAATCAGACATACACTACATGAAATTAAGTTAAACTTGAAAATAACCGTCAGAAAATTTGTTTTTAAGGGGTTAAATAGGTCTTGTATTTATACATAATGGCTATACACCCCATCGCGGGGTTAAACCGCGAATGCTTTCTAGATCCTATTTCTTGGGTGGATCAGTCCCTTTTGTTTATGTTATCTTCTTGACGATATCTCTCCATTTTTTTCTGTCTAGTTTTTCCTCTCTATTCAGTGACTTCTGCTCTTTGGAGGTCTTCTTCAACTTCTTGCAGCCACTTTGATCTTGGTCTTCCCCTTCTCTTCCTTCCTCCTGGATTCCATTCTAGCAATGCGTATGACATTGCTTCATCTCCTGCTTGCCAAATGTGACCTAACCATCTAACTCTGCATTGCTTTATTTTAGTCACGATGTCTTCCTTAAGTTCTTCCTTAATCTCTGAATTTGTTCTGCTTCTCTATCCGTTTTGCTCTGTTCTGATTGGTCCCAGTATGGTTCTCATAATCTTTCTCTCCGCTGTTCTTAAGTCTTCTTCATCTTTTTTCTTCTATTTCGGTCTTTCTTTCTCCGGTTTTGCTTATTGTAACTCCTAGGTATTTAAAGTATTCTACTTCTTCAAACTCAGAACTTCCTATTTTGATTTTTTCTTTCATTGGCTTTTTGCCTAATCTTAATATTTTTATCTTTTCTTATTTTAATCTTAGTCCCATTAACTCCCCTTTGTTTTTTATTTCTTATAACGTTTCTTCCATTATTTTCCTGGTCTTTGCAGTAATAGCAATATCGTCTGTCTATGCGATTATTTGACCACCTCTTGTTCTTAGATTTCCTTTATTTATATTTCCTAGTACGTATTCTAAGGCTAGATTAAATAGCATTGTTGATAAGGCATCTCTTTGTTGTATCCCTTTATTTATAGTGAATTCCTCTATCTCTCCTTTTTGTATCTTTATGCTAATTTTTGTAGTCTTATTGTCGTTTCTATTAAGTTTCTGAGTTTATGTGGAATTTTTAATTTTTTAAGTGCTATCATCCAGTTTCCTCCTCATTATTCATTTCTTCTCCTGATGTATCCTCTATCAAGAGCTCTCTGTAGTAATCCCTTCATACTTGCTTGTATTCTTGATCCTCTATTATCACTGTTCCCTCTTTATTTTTTATTCCGTTTGGTTTGCCTTTGTATTTTTTGTTTTGTTTTTTTTTCATGTTATTTCTATACAGTCTTGGTTATACCATCCGTTTTTTGTTTTATCCTGACTTTTACCTACCTGCATATTTGCACCTTCTTCTATTGATTTTTTGATCGTCTTCCTTTCTGTGTTTATGTCATCTGCTTTATATTCCTCTTCTATTGTTAAATTTTTTATCATGTTTTCATCTTTTCATGTTTTGTTTTCGTCTCTGTGACTTTTAAATGGACTTCTTTGAACTTTTTTACTGGGAACAACTAGCAGTTCCTCTTCTTCTCTATTTCTTTTCCGACTGTCATCTGATGTATTATCATCTGAATCAATATTTCTACTACTACTACTCGCGATAGGGCCACCCTCCCCACTTAACGTGTCGAAGGAAGATGTTTCTCTCAAGCAGTAGCTTGTAGTAATTTATTTTCACGATGTCTCGATGTCACGGGTCTGATGTAGCAACGTCCACCTCTAGCTTTTAAAACTAATATTAGCGTTAATTACCTGAGCCGGTTTTGTTTTTATTTTTTTTTTTGTATTGAAATTATTATGAAGCCGAACATTACCGGAGTAATAGAGATTTAAATACCGCTCTGCCGGTACGTGCGCTCTGCCCACGTAAGGACCGCACAGTCAGTTTAAAAACTTTAAACGCGTTTTTCACGGAACTTTGTTTTTTCATGCCTGAGATTTGTTTTTGATTTCACGAGAACGAATCGACCGATTTTGCTAAAACTTTACACAGTTCATCTTTATGTTATTTGTTTTAAGTCGACCGAGTTTCAATCGATCGACTTATTCTTGTTTTATACGAAAAAAAAAAATGTTTTAAAAACGATGAGAATCGGAAAAATGTTTATTTATTATAAACACAAGATAAAAATCTTTGTTTTTATTTTTATAGAACATTTTCATTTTATTTATATACAAAATTAAACTTTACGAGGGCACTTTTGAAATCAAATTTATTAAGCATTTGTAGTAAGTTAGCTGTTGGTTAAAAGAGTTAAGGCGAAATTACACGGTTCACTTTTGCCTTTCAATTTGGATGAAGCAACCAAATTGATCTATGTAAAAGTGAATCATTCCATGTCATTGAATATTGTCTTTCAATGGCGTTTGAAAGAATTGAACATACTGAATATTTTTACTTGTAGCGTTCAACCTTTAACGCGGTTGAACGAGAAATTAATGTGTAATCACAAGAATTGAAGATTAACTTTTAGTAGTAATACGCATCACAGTGTAGAGGAAGGGCGTATTTGGACGATACGTAACTACACAATGGTTTTCAAATGGAAGGAAGAGCACACGCCTCTGTTCTTGGAACATTTTAAAAAGTATTCGTGTCTATGGAATTATAAAACGGAGGGTTATATAAAAACCGATATTGTCGTGGAAATGCTATGAAATCGCTAACTAATTGAAGATTTGAACATTAGTGGTATAACCGAAGAAGACATAAAATTGAAAATTAAAAGTATCCGTACTCGTTATACCTGTGAGTTAACAAAGATAAAACGATCAACCAAAAGCGACCATGTGAACAATTCACTTTCCAGATACCATGTAAGATCCAGATTCAATTCGGTTGAATCGTGGAATTTCGCCATTACTTATGCAAAGTATGCCGGTAGATTGGATCAGCCGATAGATGGACAGTAAAGTAATAGAGGGATAGTAGCAATTTACGCCACAGTGTTAGCCATTATTCCGAAAGACATTGGAGACGCTGGAAAACCCTGTATATATATATATATATATATATATATATATATATATATATATATATATATATATATATATGACTAAAGTTGATGTATTGTTAAAATATATATTTACGTTCATTTTTAGGTCCATTCAACCAACCTTAGCTGATTTGGAATTTCCACCACCTCCTACAGACCTACCGCCTCCTCCAGATGAATTTGATGGGTCCGGCATTGACCAAGTAGACTGTAGTACATCTATAATGACTTCTTCACAAGAATTAAAAAAGCGAATTATTCCTATATCCCCATTGACTACGAAGAAAATAAACCGTGAACCAAAAGAACCCCATCCTCCCGAACCAACAGAAACGAGCGACTTAAGTACTCTCCAGCCATCTGTAGAAGAAGCTAGTTCACGATTTGGTGTTAGTTTGAAAAAACGAGAAACAGATAAGGATAAGGAGGATGGAGGAAAAGAAAAAAGCCCTCAGCGTGCCAGTCTTAGCCTCACTAGTCCTAGTCAAGACGGTAAAAGTCCTGTTAGTGCCGATTCGGATGTTCCTATGGTTGGGTCTCCACTAGAACCTCTACCTCCTCCACCAAATATTACTGAGACTGGTGAGTTGGTATTTTGTCTGGATATTTAAAGTATTAAATCGAGTTGTGGGATTTTCATCTCGATTTTGTTCTTAATGTAAGCAATCCAATTGCGTATTAAAATCGTATCTTTACATTGTTACTTAACCTTCCATTGATAGCGTACTCAACTTAGTAGCATTATTTTCAGATCATTCAAAATATTCAAAGAATTTTGTCAATTAATAAAATCAATTATTAAAGTAAAAATCAATAACTTGATTTCTTGCAACTGGATCTTCCATTTAATTTGGTAGCTATCCAGATTATAAACAGTCTGTTTTTGTATTTAGAGTAGTTTTCATGGGAAATAATTTAATGGAGATTATGTGAACGCATTTGAGATGTACATTTGAACACCTAAAATGACATTATGAAAAATATTAAAATATATATTAAATTCGTAAAATTATATCCTTCATATTTGAAAAACTAATTGTTAGTAGAGATTCCTTTATTCAGATTTAATTTGTATGTTTTACCCAAGTTTTTTATCGTCTTACTTGCAGTACTAAGTGCATCTTCAAATCAACATTTTAGATACTCACTGTAATTAAAAGTACTTTAATATTTGTCATTTCGATTTCCACGTTGAAAATTATTTTAAAAAGACTAATTAAGCAACTTATTTGGTTTTTGTTATTTGAAAGTATAAAAAAATCTTCTAATAGTTTAGTTTTATCTGCCGCACTGATAATGTCAATTCAAACATGTGGTTATATACCATAAATATAAAAATATAACAGACATGTTATACATACTAAGTGACATACAAATCCGCACACCTATTATAAACTATTTTGCTTTTACTTATACAATTTAGTACACAGGCTTATTCTGGCAAACAGAATAGATGATTAGAATTTCAGCCATATCAGTTTAGGTTTTCGTTTTTTAAAGTACTAACCACTAAAAATTTTAACTTTTAAGGTTAGTACCGATTAAAATTTAGCAGTATGCGGTTCTTAATTTTTTTGAAACTTGTTTACAATGCCTAAAGTACGAAGAGACGCAAATTTCCATCAAATTAGTGAGTTTGATAGGGCCTAAAGGCTGATTTAAAAACTTTACGTTGACGCTGGCGTTCGCCGTTGACCATGGCGCTGGCTATCATATACTGCATTAATAAACTTTCGGTTGGCGTTGTCGTTAAAGATCACATCTAAATTTCTAACCTTACATTTTTGATTTTGTATTATTATTTTTGCTTGAAAATTAATACAATGGAAAATGAAAATGCTCGGTCTTTGTTAAGTGCAGTGGCACTTATAGACGATACTTTGTATTCCAGTAGCACTGAGTTTTCGAAATAAAAGACAACGTCGGTACAAACGGAGACCCATTAACCAGAACAGAAAGACAAGAGGTAATTTATACAGATATAAAAAACTGGGATACATAGCAGTTTTTTAAATATACATACAGGTTCCAGTATTTGAAAAATTACTACAAATGGTAAAACCAAAAATAAATGTAAACTATCGCTCTGATGGAATTTCTAATATATCTCAGCTATTTCACGTGGAAACACAAACATAAACAAATAATTTAATCTGATTTGTTTGAAAAACCTTGTCACTTTTCTATTGGCCTTATTCTATTGGCTGCGATGACAAAGATACAGGTTTTTTTGTGTTCTGTGATCGTGACTACAACCGTAGAAGGGTTGGTGTATTCTGTGCTGCAACGGCAAAAGATAAAGTTGGTTCATCTTGAACGGAACCGAACGCCAACGGCGAACGTTGTTTATAAATAGACATACGAGTTTCCCATTTGACCATGTTGTAACGCGAACGTCAGCGCCAACGCCAACGTTAAGTTTATAAATCAGCCTTAAGAGATACCGGACTTCCTTTTCCGGAAATTGCGCACAGTGTTTAAGGAAATTTAGATACTGTGTTAAAATGTTATCGGGCGTTAAGAAGGTCGAACACGCAGATAAAGGGGCCACAGGGCGGCACCAAAGAACACCAGAATGTCAAGATCATAGTCTAAGATTAATGGCTCTAAGATACCGCTTGTATACTACCAGGTCTATTGCAAATCAATGGTTTGTAATTTATTATTGAATTTGCATTTGTGACCTTTGTCAGTTCGACTTTATCCCTGAACATCGACGAAACGGGGTTGCTTTTAGTGATGAATCTCGATTTTGTTTCTGTTCTGCATAATGGCCGAGCCAGGGTCAGAATGCGACGTGGTGGAAGACAAAAGCCACAGTTTTTTGTTGTGATTATGTTTTGGGGTGCCATCGCTTATGTTTTAAGGTCACCTATAATCTTCGTCAGAGGGAATATGACAGCTCAGTGATACATAGAAGAAATTCTGGAACCTCATCACATACCCTACATTGAGACGCCTCACGGTCCAATTTTTCAGCAGGATATCGCAAGACCAAAAATAACGAGAGTCGTCTTGGACTTTTTTAAACAGGCTCAATCTTCTGCCAGATTTATTCCCAATTGACCACTTGTGGTATATGCTAGGTCAGATACTTCTTAATTTAGATGCTCCTCAAAAATATTGGGAGAACTTGGGGGGGGGTAATTAGGGCACGGAACTAGACACCTCAGGAGGATATTGATCAACTAATCAGAAGCGAGCCCAGACTTATTCGCTCCGTGCGTGACTGACGCGACACCTACCGCCTTCATCTGACAATTTTGGAGTCCCAATTGTCAGGTTAAACATATGACATATATTTGACATTGTTAAATACATGCGAAATTGACAATTATTAATAAATTAGTTTTTTAACTATAGTTTTTCAGTTTATGTACAAAATAAATGTAGTATTAAAAACTGCGTTTTTCAAAATTCATCATAATATATCTTTTCAACTCCAAACGGAAAAGAAAGGGAAAAATCTAGTACTGGCAAATCAAGTTTTTCACGCAAAAGAGCATATAATTAAAAACAATAATAGTAAAAGTTATGATATAAAAGCTAAAGTCATCTGCAGTTAGCTTGAAGCCTTATGAAATATCATTCAAGGTAAATTATTTAAATTTTTTCTATTTCAATTGCATAAAAATGAAATTATGTGATATTTACTTTTTCATATTAATTGCACGAATTCATCTTTTTCTTTTCTCTAATTTATAAGTAATCTTTGGGAACCTATAAAAGCTACACTCACTGTTTTTGCTATTATTAGCACAATTAAATACGCAACATGTATTTGCACACATTTTTGATAAAATTTATGCGTAAAAATATTTTGTCCAATATTCCAATTTTGTCATATTTCGCCGCTACGCACGCTTGCATCGTTTCAATGTATCCCTACCATGGTCACGCACGGAGCGAATAGAAACTTTGTTGGCCTACGAGATGCATCAACATATTATTAATTGATTTACCCCTTTGAGCTGTTTCCATCATATTAAAATTTAAATTATTTGTTTATTTTGCCACCCATAAAATTGTACAAAATATAATAATTTATAATGGGTGTCCGGATATCGATGTCAATTACTATATAATACCTTTTAAATTAGAGGACTTCCAAATGGTATTTTTAGTATTTTTAAGATGCATTTCTACTTGAGATAGGACAATTTATTGGATCATAGTTCGTTTTATCATGTAAAATCAATTTTAACTTAGAGTATCAGTCAAAAAAAAATATGATAGCATATGATTAGCCTTAAGACAGAACCACAGAAATCATGACAATAAAACTCTCTTCTTACAAATAGCATTTTATATCATAAGAGAAAAGTCATGATACGATCCCGACATGATAATTATTCGATATACGTTTAGTTTACTCTTAATATTGATATCACATTCTAATGTTATATGACTATTTTAAACTATATTATTCATTTCAGCTTTTCTGACTAACAGTTATCACTAATATTTTAAACTGTATTATCCATTTTAGTATTTCTTACTTACCAACACTACATCAGTATACATTAAGCACCAGAGAATGGCATTCCTGTTATCTGATCCAACATTAATGAGAATAAATAATAACTAAACACTGTGCCCTGATGCAGTCCTACTTTCACATGACAGTGATGTATCTGCCACACCTGCCCTAATACTAATTGTTGATCCATCATACATATCTCTTACTCTTACATAACCTCTCGAGGAACCCTATTTATTTCTATGTTATCACTATAAGCAGTGCATTGAAATAAATGTTCTGCTTATTAAAACGTTCTTCGTTCTGATTTATTTTGTTAGAATCAAAATATATTAATACGTGAACTATGACATGTGTAGTTAATTTTTTACATTTAGTTTATTTTGTATTTATTTACAGTCCATGTTTGTACATCAAATAGGAATATGTGATAAATATACCCAGTTACTACTTAAGATTTATTTGTAAATTGGTATTACATACTAATTTTATTTAAATTTAGACCTTGTAAGATCGTAAACTTCTTCTTTACGTGCTATCTCCTCGACGGAGTTTGGCAATCATTATGGCTATTCTAATTTTAGATGCTGCCGCTCTGAATAGTTCGGTTGATATGCATCCGTACCATTCCAAACTTGTTATAATATACCACCACCAAATTTGTTATAATTCGAAGAATTTGTATTGTAATTGTTTTGCTTTGAGGACGTCCATTAACTCTTTGTGGCGGACTTGTGGATCGAAAGCCTTGTTGTAATCTATGAAACAGACGTACATATCTTGTTCACATCCAAGCATCTCTGGATTAGTACGTTGAATGCAAAGAGAGGTTCACGGGTACTTACGCCTCTACGGAATAAAAATTGGATTTCTTCAATATCCATATCAAGTGTTTATGGATGATCTTCAAAATCATTTTAAGTATGTGAGACATCAGGCTAATGGTGCTGTGGTCGGTACATTCTCTAGCTTTTTTTTATTTATTTATTTTTTTTTTTTTTTTTGGAGAGACAAATAAATGTTGAGGTCAACCATTCATTGGGTATGTCACCTGACTAATAAATTTCATTAAAGAGCTTTAAGACGACATACATCTACTCAT